CTTCTTTTTATACAGTTCATGGTAGCATTTTTTTTTTTATATTTTTATAAGAGTTTTTATAATACGTTCAGAGTCAGAAAATTAGACTGGTTCATATTAAATTATATTTTGTTTAACTTTTAATCTAATATTAAATGAATAAAAAATTTAAATTCATTTTGGTGCCAAGTCTAGGAGAAATTAAAATTTTATCAAAAAATGAATAATTCTAAATATAGTTTATGATTTTTTTTGTTTGTTTTAATTTTTATTGATTTTATTAATTGTTTTTAATTAAAAACTATTTAGAAAAAATATAATACAGTATTCAATTTAAAATTGAGAGATTCAAAACTTTTACCAATTAAACTATAAGACGTTATCTATTATGTTATATATGATTATCTTCTTAGCTATATTTGCCTCAATTGATTCTCCTATAATTGTCATGTCATTTCATTTACTTCAATTTGTTATCACATACTTGCGCCTTATTGCATTTCTCTCGGCTTGTTTTTGCACAACTCAATTATTATAACATTTCATCTCTTTCAAGTCTTTATTGATGTTTGTCATTACAACCTTATCTATTTTAACTTGATCTTATATGACTATCTCTTATCTATATTTGTCTTAACTCATTCTCACTTATATTATCTTCTTATTGTATTTGAGTTATTTTTTGTAAAATTTTAATAAATTTTTGTTGCATAAAATTAGGAACACCTACAACATCATTAGTAAAAAAAAAAAAATGATTCCCTGTGAGCCTATAAGAGATAACTATTTGTAAAAAAATACGATTCTTCCTAAACATATAAGGGAGAAAAAAAAATTATTTCTATTTAATAAGGAAAAAGATAACACCTATAAAATAATATATTATCATTTTCTCTCTTACGTTAAGTTAAATTATAAACAAACTTGAGTTTTTGAGAGTGAAGAGTACCTGAAACTCTAATAGCATCTGGGAGAAGACAAAAACAATGAAGAGCATCAACAATTACATATCATTTTTCGTGAGCAGAAAAGCAAGAATCTTGTTCTATTGCTTACGCACTAATGTCCGTATTAATTTACCTACAATGGTATTAGAGCCTAACTACTTGCATATGACCCCGCAATAATCATGCTCCAATCTAGATTAAGTTTATTAGTTTTTTTTAAAACTTGATGATGATGAATCTAGAAAACAAGATGTTTTTTTAACTCATGTTAATTTAATCTTTTTTATTATGATAATTAAATTATAACATTTTTAATTTGTATCATATGTGATGATTATGAGTCTAACAAAATTTTTAAACATGTAATATAAATAATAAAATTTTGATGATTTAATTATGAAAAATCGTGCTTAATGTTTTTTCTTTATATATTTGTAGAAATGTCAACAAAAAACATGATTGTTAATTTGTCCACCAATGAGAAGTTGGATGGGACAAATTATAATATATGGCATAAGAAGATTCAATATCTTCTTCATGAGCACGAGATTTTGAAAACCTTAATCACTATTGTACCTAAGCCAAAAAATATCGACAGTGACCGGTATAATGAGAATCTAACTGCATATTATGAATGGTCCAAGAAGGATCGTTCTGCACGTTATACTATGTTGTATTGCATGCATAATGAGCTCATTGGAGAGTTTAAGAGTTGTTCCACGACTAAAAATGCAAATAAACATCCTTTCAACCTTAATTCCCCTCCTTGATAACAGAAGACTAGGTCATTTATACCACGAAGGTAGCACAAATTTCTCTTGGCTGTTTGCCAATGAGCAGGTCCAAGGTTACTTTGATAATGATTTACCAAACCAACCGTAAAACAAATGTCTAGCTGTGTACACAATATGACATACATCAAATTACCTATTACATTAGCATAAGAAACGTTGCTCATTTTCTTTTTCTCGTCATCTGTCTTTGAATACTGGTCAAGACTTAAGGTTAGACTATTCTCAACAGGAGTGTTAATAGGTTTGGAGTAATGCATCCAAAATCGTTCTAAGACTTTTTTAATATTTACTTCCTGACACAGTCCTATAAGCTTCTTGAGACGATCTCTCATCATTTCCCACCAATGACAAACCTGACTTCACCTATGTCCATCTAAAAAATAAAGGATAATCACTACTTAGTGGCATTGATTATCTCCATGTTGTTTTCAACCAATAATATGTCATCAACGTATAAGGAGAGAAAAATAATCTCTTCTGTTGTTTTCTTGGTATAACTTATGGTCAGACATCCGCAACAAAGTTCTGTGCCTTTGATTTAAAGTGGATGAAATATGAAGTGGATCTAAAGCATAGTATAGTTGAACACTTACGTGTCATGAGTGTTATCCTTCGCGACTTTAATGCTAGTAGGCGTAACATAAGAGATTAGAAGCAGGTTTTGAATGTGATTCGTTCACTTCTAGATGAACTTGAATGTTGAAAAAATTTTAAACCCTTGATGGTTCATAGTGAATACATCAATATTTTCTCTGAAATTGGTAGGCACATTGAGATAGAAGTAGAGTGTCAAAAGGCACTTGATCTTTCCAATGTAGCGTTTGTTGCCCATGAGGCCAAACCCAAGAAAACAAGCCTAATCATGCCAAATAATTTAAGAAAAATTGGCGCTTAAGCCAATGGACCGAAGGGTGGTATGGCTAAACAGAATAAGGCTAATGGCCACAGAGAGAAAAATATAGAGTGTATGAAGTGCTACAACTGTGGCAACAAGGGTCACTTGTTCGTGGTTGTTCTGAGCCAAAAAATGTGTTTTTCTCTATTTTGCCTCTTGATTTACTTGTTTGTTCCCATGCATTAGTTGCTACTTCTTTTCCTAATTGGATTGCAGACACGGGAGCAAGTAAACATATAGTTCAAGATCAAGCTAGATATTTGGACTACCAACGTGTTCTGGTGGATTCACAAACTATTGTATTGGGCAACGACCGCAAAGAAAATATCCTTGGAATCGGAACATACCAGCTCAAGCAACGTGGAGGAAATACTTTACTCTTCATGATACTCTCTATGCATCCGGGGTGCGATGTTGTTTACTTTCAATTGTTTTTTTTGTTGAGATTGGGTTTTTCTTTTAACTTTAAGTCTGGTGTTTTAGATATTTTATGTCATGACGATGTATTTAGTCATGG